CTGGGATCCAGCCTTCTGTTACTCTTCCACAAACCCATCCAGAAGAATTAAAAACATATGTATTACTTGGGACAGAGAAAAAATGTGCTGTAACTTTAAAGGTGTTCATGACAACTATTAATTTGTTCTAGTTCAGCCAAGAAAAAAATATTTCTTTTAAAAGCCATCCCCCCCTTCACAATTCCAATCATAAATACCACGCTCTATAAAAACCAATATGAAACCACCATGGTGGGGGGCAACATGTAAGACACATATAGCAACTCAACTAAGTAATTCCATCTAGTCTCTCTTCTCTCTGATAGTTATAAATCAGTGATTTACTTAAAATGAAAATATTTGCATAATAAGCAAAAGTAACACTGCACAACAACTTAGCAGCATTGTTGTTGTTGTTTTAAACTCCCAAAGCATTAAAGACAGTTCGCAGTAAGGAGAGAGGACGTGAGGCTTTCATTTACAAAGGCAGAGTCATCAGAGCTTAATCTACCGACACAGCTCAAGCCCAGGACAACCTCGCTCTCGCCCTGCAAATGGATGGATACCAGGAATACAAGCAGAAATATTTCTCATACAAATATTTCATACTGTATGAAAGGCATTTTTCTAACAAATCACATGCCAGTTTATTTTTAAAAAATCATTTTCACGAAGTTCATATTATTCTCCACTCACAACAGCCACCATTTCAAAACACAACCTCTTCCTTCTGCTTTCAAGAACATGTATAACAATCTCATTTTCTCTTAATTCACATTCCTACTTCTCACCAAAATGTCTACTAATTGCCCTCTAAATCTATGTTCATTCCTGGCTTTCTAAATCATGTGGGTTTTTTTTCTCCTTTCTCAGAACACTGAGGGCCCTCCCCACTGAAACTTGACGTATCTTTCAAGGCTCAATTAAAATTTCTTTGCAGACTACACCAACTCATCCTGAAAATGGTATTACACCGTTAGCACATGACCATGTGCTTCTTTAATTCATACACTCTAGGAGTGTTTTCCCAGTTAGCCAGCAAGTTCTCAAGGTACAGGCAAGTCGTGGCGTTTCCATCCCACTGCCAGACCCAGGGCACAGTCCAGAAGTCTCCATCACCTGAGAGACTGACAGGGTAGAGCTGGTGAACAGGATGCCTGGTACGGGCACTTCCCCAGGGCACACAGATGACATGACTGGCACAAGGGAAGACTAAGGACTCCTTTGCCATCCTGGTGCTTTTGCCTGGCTTGTACCAGATATCAGGATGAGGAACCAAGAGACTGTTTTCTAGTCCGTTTTTTCCAAGGACACAAATTCAGGCAGTATGTTCTGGCCACTGGCAGCTGGCTGACCACACTGGCAGGTAGCAAGTGGAGAAATATCATCCAATTTGGATAACCTCGGGCAAACTGTAGCTCCAGCATGTTCAACAATAAGGCAACCAGTAGGTGAAACAGCACCAGTCCCCTCTTCCCAGATTTACCAAAGTGTGGCTGACAAATAAAAACTATATGATATATAATGTGATGATTTGCTCTATGTTAAACAGTGAAATTATTATACTTCACATAGCTCCTAGTATATTTTAAGCATACATTACTAACTGTAATCACTATGACATACATTAGTTTTCTTGATTCATACTAATACCCTTTTTAACCAACATTTTTTAATGAATTTCAATGTCAGCCCCTCTACAATTTTTAAATTACAAAAATAAAACTGTTTCACATAGATTCAGGGCTTGGATCTTCCCTCAAGTGGAGCTAAATGTCTAAATCTATTAACTCATCACATTTAAGTATCTAGAAATCACAAAATTAGCATTAATTGCCACAGTATTTTTAATTCACATTAAATCTACTTAAAACAGATAAAAAAAAACATTTTCATATTAGATACTTCTCTCATGTAATATGAATCAATTCCCTTTACAATTCATTTATTTTCCAAAAAAAGTTTCATTTACTCTTTCAGGTTTCTCTATTTAATATGAATACTAAAATTCTAAATTAATAAATTATGAAATGTAAATGATATAAAACTTGCATTAAAGTTGATTTGTGTATTGAGTGTTCACTGAAGACATCAGAAGTGCCAGGGGACACAGAGACAAGGCTGTGCCACATCCAGGACACGGCTTGCTGGGCCTGCTACAGTGGCCCACTGCCTCAAGTGCTCTCCTCCCAGGCCGGGATCCCATCTGGGTGCTGGTTCTAATCCCAGAGCCCCGCTTCCCTTCCAGCTCCCTGCCCCCAGCTCCCTGCCCAAAGCCTTGGGACCCTGCACCCACGTGGGAGACCAGGAAGAGGCTCTGGCGTTAGATCAGCTCAGCTCTGGCCGTTGTGGCCATCTGGGGAATGAAAAGGTAAACAGAAGATCTTTCTGTTTCTCCTTCTCTCTGTAAGTCTGCCTTTCCAAGAAAAATGGATAAATTTAAAACAAAAAACGGACTACGCTTACTAAACTCTAGAAGAGCCCACCGTCCCCTTTTTTAGGTTCACTTAACCCCATCATCAGGGTAACCCTGAGTCTCCTCATATTTAGAGAACTCATGAATATGCATGGTCATTTCTTGGGAAGTTGCTCTATGGCAAAGGTAGCTTGGATAGAAGGAGCAGAATGCATTCCACACTTCACACTTCTATACATACAAAAATCACCTTGCGTATCTGATGAGTGCTTCCTTTATCAAGGTGATTGGAGGTCCTAATTACTCCAGGAAACCACAGTCTATTCTCATTTCCATATGAGGCTAACAAGAATCTAACTGTTGGAAGCCCCGAGGGGATCTGGTCATGAAAATCATCTCTCCTGACGGGGTAATTTATAATCACCCCTTGAGAGAAATCAGTATACTTTTCTATTGTCAGTCTTATCTCCCAAGCAAAACATTTGATAAAATCTTATTGATAGCATGGCCTCTTACTTCCCTAGCACATCCTCTGAGCAGCCAGACCTGGCAATAAGGTTTCCAAGAATCAGTGGCCATACATTCCCCAACAGCCTTCCCCACTTAGTGGAGTTTTCTAAATATCCTGAGGAGCACACTGACTAACAGAATTCCCAACTGGCCAGACTTTCAGATGGTTGGGATGGTTTCACCAGAATCTTCTTTCAGGTGTCTGAGAGCTCAGGCTGCTCAGACGCTCCTAACCAAGGCAAGTCAGTGCCTGAAATCATCTGCTAACTGAAAAGAAATGAAGGATTCTGGAAGTGTCACTGAAATGACTGCGAGCAACACACGCAACGTGGTTCTTGGTGCTACCCCAACAGGCTCCTGGCGGTGCTGTGAAACAGTTCCTGAACGAAATAGAGATGGCCAGATGTTCTGACTCAGTACGTCCTGACACAGGCCATATGCTTCATCTGGCCGATCACAACGTCTTCTTCCTTATTGCCCAGGGAGTGCCCCTCCCAAGCTACAAATGACCCATAAGAACCTTCCCGGGGGACAAAGAATGCTCCTTGGTAAAGGAGGAAAGGTCCACATGTGGCTGAAGCACCTGCGCTACCAGCTCAGCCCAAGCTCATGCCTCCGAAGGGCCGTCCCCACTTCGTCACAAAGCATACCTTGGCATACAGCTTCTTCCAGAAAACCCCCGAAGCCCATTTACACGACTCCAAGGCAAAGTACCTCACAGAGGCTAACACAAAAGGAGCCGCCCAAGTCAGAAAAAAATCATTTCCTGGGATTCTATTGTTACATCTTAATACCCTTACACTATCATCAGATGGCAAAGTTAGTATCGTAACACTGTCATGGGATTCTGGAAACATAGTCAGGAACAGTAGCTGGTTTCACTAAGCACAGCACAGGGTAATCAGACAGAATCACAGCTTAAACAAAAGCTGTAGCTAAAGATCTGCCCAGGGAGACTAGAAACTACCCTTGTCCTTCGAGAACTGAAGGCAGGCTGTGAGAAAGAACCAGAGAAGTGGAAATGTTACCTGAACCCGCACAGTGTAAACTATTTGCTTAAAACAGCAATGTTTATGCACATGGTCTTCATAAAGGTTTATGGAAAATGTGAATTATGAAAAAAAAAAACTACAGGTGATTTTCAAAAACTTCTTACACCCAAATAAACTGATCTTTTCATCTCAATTGTCACAATTTTTTTAGTGCACTCAGACTGCTAACAACAAGTACACTGTGCCCCATCCCCCTTACAACCAAACATCTATGTTTTATTAGATCAGACACTGCAGTACTCCTCTGCCTATCACTGCGACAGCCCACCTCACAGCAACTGTCACCGTTACTGTGCTTCCTGAATCTCTATTCCGGGCTCTGTGAGCCAGGACAAGTGGAAGAATTTTCAGCAAGGTATCCAAAACAGAGAAGACAAATATGGACAATCAGCCATGGAATTCTCTGAGACAGAACTCTGCCACGCCCTTCCCAGGGAAGACACACAGTACCTGACCCTTACGGTTGCTTAGCATTTATCACCTCAGAGTTTTTACTTCATTGTAAAAACAAACTAAAATATGCCAATAAATACACTCTTACATAGACCTGAACATTAGACTCGACACCCTACACTTGTTCTCTCCCGATGGGATTGCTCATGACGCCCAGAAAAGGTGTCTTTGAAGTCCACCTCTCCTACCAACATGTCATGAGTCTGACACTGGAAGTGACACTTAGTGCTTTGGGCTCTAAGCAGGAGCTGAGACACAGGTCATCTGGTGCTGACCACAGAGGAATGGAAAAACCCTTGGACAAAAGCAACTGACTCAGCTCTCACTAGGCCTCAAGGACCTGTGTGACACTTCTCAAAAACCCCAAATGAAGAAAGCTGTAAGCTCAGTACAAAACCATGCCGACCAGTATGGAAGAACAGTAACACTCAAATTAAATGCAACAATTACGTCAACCAAAAGCCATGACTCAGTTACTTCACATGTCAAATCTGTATTGATCTCTTGCCCTTTGAGCTCATTGTGAAGTACTGTCTATTCATGCAATTCAATGAGCTTCCAAATCCTTCCAGCCGCATCCCAAGCCTCACCTGCAAGCAGGTGCACAGAGCTGAAGGTCTTCCTCAGTTTGCCCAGAAGTACAGTGAGGAAGCAGTCTGAGGACAGGGAGTCAACGTCTTGGGAGCTCTGATCATACACCACCACCTTCTGACTGCAGTCAATGTCAACCTGAAACACACGCATGAAGCTTGTTAGGAAACATGATGAAAAAGTAACTTCATAAGCCACTGGTCCAAGAGTCTCTTATATTTTACTAGGATTTAAACAAATAATCACTTCTTGTTTTCAACTGATAATCTGAGTAAAATGAGATGTGGTCAATTCCCTGTATAAACATACTACACGGGCAAATAGGTTAAATGCTTGTACAAACCAACATTTTTTTTAAGATTTATTTTTATTGCAAAGTCAGACATATACAGAGAGGAGGAAACACAGAGAGAAATTCCTTTGTCCGATGATTCACTCCCCAAGTTGTCACAAGGGCCAGAGTTGAGCTGATCCAAAACCAGGAGGCAGAAGCTCTTTTGGGTCTCCCATGCGGGTGCAGGGTCCCAAGGCTTTGGGCCGTCCTCGACTGCTTTCCCAGGCCACAAGCAGGGAGCTGGATGGAAGTGGAAGCAGGGAACCAGTGCCCATATGGGATCCCGGCACCCTCAAGGGGAGGACATTAGCTGCTAGGCCACGGCGCTAGGCTCCAGATCAACTTTTAAAAGGCAAAATTGGAGGCACAGGGTTGTAGCCTAGTGGCTAAAGTCCTCGCCTGCCATGCCAGGATCCCAGGTCCCTTGGGACCCTGCAGCCATGTGGGAGCCTCGGAGGAGGAGGCTTCTGGCTTCAGATTGACTCAGCTCTGGCCATTGCGATCACTTGCAGAGTGAACTAGCAGACCGAAGATTGTTGTTTCTGTACCCCTCTCTATATCTGCCTTTTCCAATAAGAAATAAATAAAAAAAAAAAAAAAAGGCAAATTTAAAGCTATTTTGGTGGAGATGTGGTCAAAACTCCCTGGTGTTAAATTCTTGACACTATAAAGGTGTAAAATTCATAGAAACAGATTATACACACACAAAACCATAATAGTTGACCTAGTGAAATTTTTTAAACAGTAATTCTACATGGCAAAAGAGAGATTATCAAAATTAAAACATAAGTTCATTTTTATTTCTGAAGGAAAAAAACTGCCTTCTCTACCACCCCCCCAAGATATTTTAGCATCAGTGACTTGTCTTGAACCTAATATTTCCAGCATCACCCACACACATATAAGCTTTTATTACCACATAAGAAAGCAACCATAACAAGAAATTTATACTTTCTTTCCCAGTACTTGAAAAGAATGGCATTTGTTTCAGGAAATACATAAATAATACAAAATAATGTCTAAGTGTTAAAACAGTTTCAGCAAGATATTAAAAGGAAAACCACATTTTCCAAATTAGAGTTAATCCTTCTTTATAGCATACAAATATTTGAGTGTTAATTTGATTAATAAATTAGCATCTCAAAAGTGATGCCAATTTACTTTCTCTGCTTGAAAACAAGGCCTCTAATTCCCTACATTTTTCAAAAAGGCGAACCAGGAGGTATTCACCTTATGTTTTGCAGAGTGCTGGATGAGTTCCGTAATCAGCACTTTGTCCTGTTGCAATCTTCGCTTCATAAGCTTGGAGCAGTTGATATTAATGGCTTCCAAAATGTGGGATGTATTGTACTCCACGAATGGCCGGCTATCAATTAGCAGCACTTTTTCCGTTCCACTTTCCAGGAGAGCCACCAGCTTATCAGTAAGAATTTGAGTTCTAATCATCTCATGGGCCATGACAATGAGTCCTCTTTTTCCACCTCCGTCTTTAATTTGCCACAATGATGTAATGGTGGCGTGCTCAAAGGCTGAGCCGCTCCATTGTACTCAAGATGTGTGAGGTCAGCTTACTGGTGAGCGGCAAAAGGAGAGTTAAATCCATTTTCGGCAACAGCCCTCCAAGTAAATGTCTCTTTCTCTTTAGCTTGATGAGCTCTTGCCCAGGACTGCCTTCCACAAAGCAGCCCCTCACACTTGGTTCATAGAGATGACTGCAATAACCACTCCACAACAAAAGAGGCTTTGGGCTTGCCAGGACATTACATCATTCTCTACCTTTGCTGGCTTGCTCCAACGGCTTTACCCTGGACTGAAAGGCCTGCATGAAAAGGGAAAGACAGAAAACAAAACACGGGGTCAAAAACAGGCAGAAAAGAGCTTCCGATTCAACTGTGTACAGTTCACAATGTTTACTCCATCAATCTCATTCCATCCTTGATGCATTGTTGCATTTCAACAACAAATAGAAAGCATAAATGGGGATGGCTTCAGAAAAATGTAGTGGTGACCATGCCATTTTACCTCAACATGTAAAAAGTCAAAGAAAACAAGATGTATTCATGAACTACGATCATCCAGAGCGAAGATTCACTAATGTGAAATCAAGAGCCATGAAGAACTGCTTAGAAAATTATGACAAATGATTTTCTTTCATCTGGTTTTCTTTTTTATTGAAAACAGCCCCTCAAAAAGCAACAGTCCAGGTGAGCAATCCTCATGGAGCTGCAACCAGCAGTGAGCATGTGCACACACCAGCACCACAGTCAGCCGCTGGCCCTGGGAGAGGCAGGCGAGCCGACAGGGCTGTCAACTTCAGCACAGGCTAAGGGAGACAGGGTGCAGAGATGGCACTGTGCTTGTCACAGGGCCCGCTGGGCTGTGTGCTGGCAGCGCGGCGTGTCCTCGGTAAGTCCTCGCGCCCACCCGCAGCAGGCTCGCGGCTGCAGCTCTGGCTCTCTCCTCCCAGGACCACCTCCCCACCCTCAGTTTCCTGACCCCTCAAGGTCAACCTCTTGGGCCTCATTCCTCAGACAAGCAATGACACTCAGCTTTACCCCTAACATGCAGAGGTTCTCAGGCGGGATCTAGATCTTCCCAGATCTTCACCAAAACCCTATCATCAACCGTTCGCTAAGTTAGAACCACTTGGAGTTTTGTGCCCATTGCTTGGAATTCACCCTGACCTTCAACCGTCTCTGATTCTCATTTTCCCTGGTCTGCCTCTGCTTCCATCCTACATACGCTGTGTATCTCCTGTGAGCATTCACTCCGCCTGCTGCTGAAGCTCTTGAGTGCCCACAAGATGCTGACCTTAGCACAGTAAGACCTTCCCCATTCCAAAAACAGCTTATGAGTCTAAATAAACATTTGGTTCACTGATTTCAAGTCAGAATGATACACTTTCCGAACATCCTCCAGTCCAATTTCCTAACTGTGTACTGAAAAATTAGAAATGGAAGCACGCAGACGAGGGATGACAATATGACAGCGGCCATGAGAGAACTCCATGGAATTCACACGGCAGTCAGGATACGCCTGTCGCACACGGAGTGCCCGAGTTGGGTTCCTGGCCCCTCTCCTGACACCAGGTTCTAGCAGCAGGGCTGGCTCAGAGAGTTGAGCTTCTGTCTTTCCTGTGGGAGACCAGGACTGAGTTCTCAGCACCCTGGCCTGGTTCTGTCCACCGCAGGCTTAGGGAGTGAGCCAACACAAGGGAACTCTGTCGGCTCATCTGTTTCTCTCAGATCAACAGAAAACAATAACAACATTTAAAAGAATGATAGAAAATTTAAAAGTCTATGGGAAAATGAAACTAAAAGCTAAGGTGTTTTTGGGCCCAGTGCCAGGGCCTAGGAGCTAAAGTCTTCACTTTAAATGCCCCGGGATCCCATATGGGTGGCAATTTTAATCCCGACAGCCCCACTTCCCATCCAGCTCCCTGTCTGTGACCTGGGAAAGCAGTCGAGGATGGCCCAAAGCCTTGGGAACCTGTACCCACATGGGAGACCCAGAAGAGGATCTGGGCTCCTGGCTTCAGGCTGGCACAGCACCGGCCGTTGTGGTCACTTAGGGAGTGAATCATCGGACGGAAGATCTTCCCTTCTGTCTTTCCTCCTCTCTGTATATCTGACTTTACAATAAAAATAAATAAATCTTAAAAAAAAGAAAAAACTAAGTTTATTTTGGTGAAAAAAAAAAAGCCTAAAACCCACGAACAGGAAGGAAATTAAAGGTCATGGCACAATGCATATTATAAAAAAACTATGCAAAAAACTCTGCATGAATATCAAATATTTTTGCATATACCAAAATAAAGATATCATTTAATTACATTTTCCATAAAATTTATAAATTCCCTCATACAATCTGTCTGAACTACCTGGAAAAATATACTTTCTCCTTATCTACAAAAATATAAATAAGGCTTCTGTCTCCTCATGAAGTTTGTTCTAAAGACTATCTAAAAAAAAAAAAAATCCTAAAAGTAACTACCAGACAGAGAAAGGAGCAAAAAACAAACATTTCAGTGAGAAACCCAGCTGGTCTACATGTGAAATCCATAGGCTATCTCTCAGAGGACAAAAGCAGAAGTGATCCCTGTCTCTTAGGTCCAGCCGCCACCTTTCTCACACAGCCTGACACACAGGGAATTAAAAGGCATCTCATCACCCCACATTTGACACATCTGGCATATTTAGTGTATGATGCACCCATTTCTTGCCTTCACTGTATCCCTAATGTTGCTGTAGTCATTACATTTCCTTTTAGTGATGATCACATTTATCTTGACTTTATGGCATTGACGTACAAATGTCCTCTGCATTTTCAACTGAAGAAACTTTAGCAGGCAACCTTTCCTAGCTTGTCAACCAATAACTTTCTGGTGAACTGGCACCGAGGCATTGAAGCAAGTCCTAGCTGCGTAGTGACAAGGTTCCCTGCAATGTGAGGTCCTGGTCTCGAGCAGACTGCCACGCAGGGCTGCTATGCTGGTCACCTTGTCTTCCCTGATGGAACCAGACTGGCAAAGAATGACATGACTTGTCCACAAGGGTGCCCGAGCGGCGCAGAAACGGGGAAACGTGAGAACAAGAGCAAGCCAATTTCAACAATGGCGCTGAGTCACGGAGTCTGATTGGCTCCTGTTGGTGATAAAATCTGGACGGGACAAAGCAGTGATCTGGGTTAGCAGATCAGGGAACAAAGGGAAGCATAGGACGGCAAACATGGAAAAGCTCAATTAGAAAAATCTCATCTTCGTTTTCCTTCTGCCAGATCTTGTAAGTTTAAAAACATCAGTTCCCGAGAGTGGGCAGGGGTCTTTCTTGCCCAGGCACAGAAAGACGCCTCGTTAATCAAGGGAAGAGCTGGCCAAAGTCGCTGTCCCGAGAGGATGTAACTGAAGCAAAGGGGCAAGGATCAGGTTGCATCCTTGCAGTGTTCCACCAAGGCCAGCTGGAGCCCTCCTGAACCCCTTTAGGCCCATGGTCTGATCTTCCACAGTCCTGGTTGGGTTATGTGAGAGGCAGAGCCCAGGAGCAGTGGAGGGTAAGGTAAAAACGGGCGTAACCACCTTTATGTACAGCTAGAGGGTGTGAGATAAAACCACCTCTTCAAACTGTAAAAGAATTCTCCCCACTTCCTGTTCACGCCAAAGCAAGACTGTGAATACCCTGAGATCAGCCACAGGTCTGTGACACTTTGGTTTTCAAAATCTTTTGCAGCAAGAAGGATTTAAGAGATAACCAGAGAATGCTTTATTGTTCACAAAACCACAGGCTAACTTTACCCAAAACTTCTATAAGAAGTCAAAAGGAACAGATACTGTCTGATTGACTCAGATGGTCAAATGCATATAACAAAATTCAGCACAGACCAGCTTTGCATATCTACTTACTTGATAAAGTTTTGCAATTTTTAATAAATATATTTACACTTTAGGGAGCTGGATAGAAGTGGAGCAGCTGGGACAGGAATTGCTACCCATATAGGATCCCAGCACATGTAAGGTGAGGATTTAGTCACTGGCCCATTGTCACAGGCCCCAAGATATTTTTAAGTTCATGCAGAATAAAATCCTAAAATTCTATCTTCTTTTCCTTCTCTTCTCTGTTCAAATGGTTACAGTCAGTGTTTGTATACTGTTTTATCTACAGGGTTTTTTTCCCACTTACAGTGCTCCCATTAAACTTTAAATTTAACAGCAGAGTGACTCAAGCTCTCCTTCAGAGATCTTTCATGTATGCACTTAAGGACATCTAAACAAATTATGTAGAAGTACTTAACCTTAAGAGACTACTCCCTTTCTCCCCTTTAAATAAAGAAAATTATTTTATGACGTCCTAATAAGACAGTACCTTAACAACTCTCACTTAAAGTTACAATGTAACAACATGCCTCCATAAAATTATCTTTTTAGGGCCCAGTGAGGTGGCTCAATGCCTTGTACATGCCTGGATCCCACATGGGCGCTGGTTCGTGTCCCTGCTGGTCTACTTCCCATCCAGCTGCCTGTTTGTGGCCTGGGAAAGCAGTCCAGGATGGCCCAAACCCTCGGACCCTGCACCCGTGTGGGAGATGCGGAAAAAGCTCCTGGCTTTGGTTCAGCTCAGCTTTGGCCATTGAGGTCACCTGGGGTTTGAACCAGTAGATGGAAGATCTATCTCCTTCTCTCTGTTAACCTGACTTTCCAATAAAAATAAATTTTAAAAAGGATATTTAAAAAAAAAAAAAGATCTATTTATTTGAGAGAGGTATATAGAGAGATTGCCCCAAATGGCCACACCAGATAGAGCCAAGCCAATCCTATGTGAGGAGCCATGACACTCTCCTGGGCCTCTCACATGAGTGCAAGGGCACAAGCACTTGAGCCATCTTTCACTGATTTCCGAAGCACATTAGCAGAGAGCTTGAACTGGAAGTAGAACAGCCAGGACTTGAACTGACACCCGTATGGAATGCCAGAACTAGAGTGTGACTTTGCCCACAGTACCACGGCACCAGCCCACTTGTAAGCACTATTTATCACACTGAAGACTAGTGACCTGAACAAATAATAGCAAAGTAACCCATGCTCAAAAATATAGGTTTTTAAAGATTTTATTTATCTAGAGATAAAAGATAGGCTAAGGCAACGTTTTAGTATAACAAATGACTACACAGAGCAGGGGACAAATGATCCAACATCTCGCAGAGATACCATTTCTAGTGTACTTTAATTTTTTAATGTATTTCCATTTTATTTTAAAGGCAGGGATACAGAGAAACAGTGAGTGAGATTTTCCCTCTGCTGGCTCACTCTTCAAATGCCCACAACCT